TTATTAATTTTTATTAAAACAAAAATTATTTAGCTATCTTTACTTAATATTCATTTAAATTTTTATTATTTATTATTCGTTTTTTATTATTTGATATTTTTTCTTTATTTTTTGCTATTAAAACTTAAACTTAATAAAAGCAGTTTATTTGTTTTAAGTTAATTTCAAACATTAAAGCTCTTTTAATTTATTTTCCTTTTTCTTTTTTTTTCATTCTTTTTTAATAATTATTAATTAATCTATCTTATTATTTCATATTTTTCTTCATTTTTCCTTCTAATTAACTACTTAATGATATATTTTTTCTTCAATATTTAAAAAGTAAGAATTAAATTGGTGACGAAGGTGCATCAGGCCTAGGTTCTGGTTTAGCAAATTGCATTAATCTCTCAAATTTGACACTTCACCTTGGGTAAAAACAGTTTATTTGTTTTGGATTGTGATATTTTTAATTATAAAAACAATTAAAATCAATAAAGCTCTTTTTTCTTTTTCTTTTTATTGTGCTTACTTTTTTTTTGTTCTTTCTTTGTTAATTTAACTCATTCATCATTTTATTTTCAACTTTTGCTTTTATTATTAATTAATCTATCTTATTATATCATATTTTTTCTTCATTTTTTCCTTCTAATTAACTATTTAATGATATATTTTTTCTTCAATATCTAAAAAGTGGAAATTAAATTGGTGACCAAGGTGCATCAGGCTTAGGTTCTGCACTAGCAAAATGCATTAATCTCTCAAATTTGACACTTAGACTTAGGTAAAAACAGTTTATTTGTTTTGGATTGTGAAATTTTTAATTATAAAAACTAATTAAAAACAATAAAGCTCTTTTTTCTTTTTCTTTTTATTGTACTTACTTTTTTTTTGTTCTTTCTTTGTTAATATAACTTATTCATCATTTTATTTTCAACTTTTGCTTTTATTATTAATTAATCTTATTTCATATTTTTTCTTCATTTTTTCCTTCTAATTAACTATTTAATGATATATTTTTTCTTCAATATTTAAAAAGTTCCAATTAAATTGGTGAAGAAGGTGCATCAGGCTTAGGTTCTGCATTAGCAAATTGCATTAATCTCTCAAATTTGACACTTTACCTTAAGTAAAAACAATTTATATGTTTTGGATTGTGAAATTTTTAATTATAAAAACTAATTAAAAACAATAAAGCTCTTTTTTCTTTTTCTTTTTATTGTGCTTGGATTTTTTTTGTTCTTTCTTTGTTAATTTAACACATTCATCATTTTATTTTCAACTTTTGCTTTTATTATTAATTAATCTTATTATTTCATATTTTTTCTTCATGTTTTCCTACTATTTAACTATTTAATGATATATTTTTTCTTCATTATTTAAAAAGTAGGAATTAAATTGGTGCAATGGGTGTATCAGGCTCAGGTTTTGGTTTAGTATAATGCATTAATCTCTCAAATTTGATACTTCACCTTAGGTAAAAACAGTTTATTTGTCTTTGATTGTGAAATTTTTATTTTAAAAACTAATTAAAAACAATAAAGCTCTCTTTTCCTTTTTTTTATTGTGCTTGCTTTTTTTTTGTTGATTTAACTCATTCATCATTTTATTTTCAACTTTTGCTTTTATTACTAATTAATCTATCTTATTATTTCATATTATTTCTTCATTTTTCCTTCTAATTAACTATTTAATGATATACTCTTTCTTGAATATTTAAAAACTTTCAATTAAATTGGTTCAATGGGTGCATAAGGCTTAGGTTCTGCATTAGCAAGTTACATTAATCTCTCAAACTTGACACTTAATCTTCTGTAAAAACAGTTTATTTGTTTTGAATTATGATATTCTTAATTATAAAAACTAATTAAAAACAGTATAGCTCTTTTTTCTTTTTCTTTTTATTATGCTTGCTTTTTTTTTGTTCTTTCTTTGTTAATTTAACTCATTCATCATTTTATTTTTAACTTTAGCTTTTATTATTAATTAATCTTATTTCATATTTTTTCTTCATTTTTTCCTTCTAATTAACTATTTAATGATACATTTTTTCTTCAATATTTAAAAAGTGGAAATTATATTGGTGACGAAGGTGCATTAGGCTTAGGTTCTGCATTAAAAAAGTGCATTAATCTCTCGAATTTGACAATTGAACTTGGGTAACAACAGTTTATTTGTTTTTGATTGTGATATTTTTAATTATAATAACTAATTGAAAACAATAAAGCTCTTTTTTCTTTTTTTCTTTTTATTTTGCTTTCTTTTTTTTGTTCTTTCTTTGTTAATTTAACTCATTTATCATTTTATTTTCAACTTTTGCTTTTATTATTAATTAATCTATCATATTTTTTCTTCATTTTTTCCTTCTAATTAACTATTTAATGATATGTTTTTGCTTGAATATTTAAAAAGTGGAAATTCAATTGGTGATGAAAGTGCATCAGGCTTAGGTTCTGCATTAGCAAAATGCATTAATCTCTCAAATTTGACACTTAGCCTTAGGTAAAAACAATTTATTTGTTTTGGATTGTCTTATTTTTAATTATAATAGCTAATTGAAAACAATTAAGCTCTTTTTTCTTTTTCTTTTTATTGTGCTTACTTTTTTTTTGTTCTTTCTTTGTTAATTTAACTTATTCCTCATTTTATTTTGAACTTTTGCTTTTATTATTAATTAATCTATCTTATTATATCATATTTTTTCTTCATTTTTTCCTTCTAATTAACTATTTAATTATATATTTTTTCTTCAATATTTAAAAAGACAAAATTAAATTGGTGCAATGGGTGCATAAGGCTTAGGTTCTAGTTTAGCAAATTACATTAATCTTTCAAATTTGACACTTCACCTTGGGTAAAAACAGTTTATTTGTTTTGGATTGTGATATTTTTAATTATAAAAACTAATTAAAAACAATAAAGCTCTTTTTTCTTTTTCTTTTTATTGCGCTTGATTTTTTTTGTTCTTTCTTTGTTAATTTAACTCATTCATCATTTTATTTTCAACTTTTGCTTTTATTATTAATTAATCTATCATATTTTTTCTTCATTTTTTCCTTCTAATTAACTATTTAATGATATATTTTTGCTTGAATATTTAAAAAGTTTCAATTAAATTGGTTCAATGGGTGCATAAGGCTTAGGTTCTGCATTAGCAAGTTACATTAATCTCTCAAATTTGACACTTAATCTTCTGTAAAAACAGTTTATTTGTTTTGAATTATGATATTTTTAATTATAAAAACTAATTAAAAACAATAAAGCTCTTTTTTCTTTTTCTTTTTATTGTGTTTACTTTTTTTTGTTCTTTCTTTGTTAATTTAAGTCATTCATCATTTTATTTTCAACTTTTGCTTTTATTATTAATTAATCTATATTATTATTTCATATTTTTTCTTCATTTTTTCCTTCTAATAACTATTTAATGATATATTTTTTCTTCAATATTTAAAAAGTGGAAATTAAATTGGTGACCAAGGTGCATCAGGCTTAGGTTCTGCATTACCAAAATTCATTAATCTCTCAAATTTGACACTTAGCCTTAAAAAA